CATAGAACACAAACAATACTCCCAATCATAGAACACAAACTATACTCCCAGTCATGGAATAAAAACAATGTTGCCTGTCATGGAGCACAAACAATCCTCCCAATTATAGAACACAAGCAATACTCCCAATCAAGGAACACAAACAATCTCCCCAGTCATAGAACACAAACAATACTCCCAATCAAAGAACACAAACAATACTCCCAGTCATGGAATAAAAACAATGTTGCCTGTCATGTTCCACAAATAATCCTCCCAATTATAGAACACAAATTATTCTCCCAATCATGGAACACAAACAATGCTCTTAGTCATTAAACACAAACAATACTCCCAATCATGGAGCACAAACAATCCTCCCAGTTATAGAACACAAACAATACTCCCAGTCATGGAATAAAAACAATGTTGCCTGTCATGGGGCACAAATAATCCTCCCAATCATAGAACACAAACAATACTCCCAATCATAGAACACAAACAATACTCCCAATTATTGAATTCAAACAATACTCCCAATCATAGAACACAAACAATACTCCCAGTCATAGAATACAAACAATACTCCCAATCATAGAGCACAAACAATCATCCCAGTCATAGAACACAAACAATACTCCCAATCATAAAACACAAACAGTCTACCCAATCATAGAACACAAACAATACTCCCAATCATAGAACACAAACTATACTCCCAGTCATGAATAAAAACAATGTTGCCTGTCATGGAGCACAAACAATCCTCCCAATTATAGAACACAAGCAATACTCCCAATCAAGGAACACAAATAATCCTCCCAATCATAGAACACAGACAATACTCCCAATCATAGAGCACAACCAATCCTCCCAATCATAGAACACAAACAATACTTCCAATCATAGAACACAAACAATACTCCCAATTATAGAACACAAACAATACTCCCAATCATAGAACACAAACAATACTCCCAATCATAGAACACAAACAATACTACCAATCATAGAGCACAAACAATCCTCGCAATTATAGGATACAAACAATGCTCCCAATCATAGAGCACAAACAATCTTCCCAATCATAGAACACTAACAATACTCCCAATCAGAGAACACAAACAATCTCCCCAATCATAGAACACAAACAATACTCCCAATCATAGCACACAAACTATACTCCCAGTCATGGAATAAAAACAATGTTGCCTGTCATGGAGTACAAACAATCCTCCCAATTATAGAACACAAGCAATACTCCCAATCAAGGAACACAAACAATCTCCCCAATCATAGAACACAAACAATACTCCCAATCATAGAACACAAACAATACTCCCAGTCATGGAATAAAAACATTGTTGCCTGTCATGGAGCACAAATAATCCTCCCAATTATAGAATACAAACAATACTCCCAATCATAAAATATAAACAATACTCCCAATTATGGAGCACAAACAATCCTCCCAGTTATAGAACACAAACAATACTCCCAGTCATGGAATAAAAACAATGTTGCCTGTCATGGAGCACAAATAATTCTCCCAATCATAGAACACAAACAATACTCCCAATCATAGACCACAACCAATCCTCCCAATCATAGAACACAAACAATACTCCCAATCATAGAACACAAACAATACTCCCAATTATAGAACACAAACAATACTCCCAATCATAGAACACAAACAATACTCCCAAACATAGAACACAAACAATACTCCCAATCATAGAGCACAAACAATCCTCGCAATTATAGAATACAAACAATACTCCCAATCATAGAGCACAAACAATCTTCCCAATCATAGAACACAAACAATCTCCCCAATCATAGAACACAAACAATACTCCCAATCATAGAACACAAACTATACTCCCAGTCATGGAATAAAAACAATGTTGCCTGTCATGGACCACAAAAAATCCTCCCAATTATAGAACACAAGCAATACTCCCAATCAAGTAGCACAAACAATCTCCTCAATCATAGAACAGAAACAATACTCCCAATCATAGAACACAGACAATACTCCCAGTCATGGAATAAAAACAATGTTGCCTGTCATGGAGCACAAATAATCCTCCCAATCATAGACCACAACCAATCCTCCCAACCATAGAACACAAACAATACTCCCAATCATAGAACACAAACAATACTCCCAATTATAGAACACAAACAATACTCCCAATCATAGAACACAAACAATACTCCCAATCATAGAACACAAACAATACTAGCAATCATAGAGCACAAACAATCCTCGCAATTATAGAATACAAACAATACTCCCAATCATAGAATAAACAATCTCCCAATCATAGAACACAAACAATACTCCCAATCATAGAACAAAAACTATACACCCAGTCATGGAATAAAAACAATGTCGCCTGTCATTGAGCACAAACAATCCTCCCAATTATAGAACACAAGCAATACTCCCAATCAAGGAACACAAACAATCTCCCCAATCATAGAACACAAACAATACTCCCAATCATAGAACACAAACAATACTCCCAATCATATAACACAGACAATACTCCCAGTCATGGAATAAAAACAATGTTGCCTGTCATGGAGCACAAACAATCCTCCCAATTATAGAACACAAGCAATACTCCCAATCAAGGAACACAAACAATCTCCCCAATCATAGAACACAAACAATCTCCCCAATCATAGAACACAAACAATGCTCTCAGTCTTTAAACACAAAAAATGCTCCCAATCATAGAACACAACCTACACTCCCAACCATAGAACACAAACAATACTACCAGTCATGGAATAAAAACAATGTTGCCTGTCATGTGCACAAATAATCCTCCCAATTATAGAACACAAACAATGCTCCCAATCATGGAACACAAACAATGCTCTCAGTCATTAAACACAAAAAATGCTCCAAATAAAGGAATAAAAACAACCATCCAAATCAATGAATATCTGTTCGAACAAACATTTGCCCAAATTTCTGAATGCCAATTTAAATACTATCAAATCTTCCTTACAGTCTTATTGCTATACTCTCTACTTAAGATATTTGATTGTATGTGGACTTGTTCCTAGAACTTTCCATTTTATGAATCGTAAACAACGGAACAAATATGTGTTTATTAACTAAACTGTAGCGTGGAAAATACAGCTAAATGAAAGAAGAATTATACAGAGTTCGGAGTCATAAAAACTATTGTCTGCTTGATAACATTGCAGTCGAAGTTAGTGGTAAGATCTCCCAAACGACAATTGGTATTCTTATGGCAACTTACTGTGTCACTGATTGATGACTTGTTGTTGTTGTTTTCATGCCACGCTTCATTTATTAAAGAGCTTTTCAAAATAGGTAAGAAGGATCTTGATCTCACCAGCAGATTATCAGCATGCCTACATTTGTATTGTAACACACTATGCCCCTCTCTTGGTTAATTTAAATTAGGCTGTATTTATCGAAGAACTATTCAAAACAGGACGCAAAGACAAACATTACGAAGTCTTTCAGTTCCACTTTCTGATATATTGGTGACATCTTCAAATAAAAAGTTATTCATTGACCATATTAATCATACATACCGATTCGAATTCGACACGACAGACTCTCCAACATAAGCTTCTTACCTCGATCATTTCCTACACTGATACCATTATAAATAACTTTTCACCATTAGTGGATAGCAATGTACCTGCATCACTAGCATATGGTGTTAACATGTCGCAGCTGATCTGACATACAAGGACCTGTTCATAATATCACGATTTTCGTGCAAGATGTCTCAATTGACAAACTTATAACACAGAATTTCAAGAGATGCAGGTTGATGAAGATTGTGGTAAAGTTTTACGGTCGTCGTAGTAGTCTCATTGAGAAATATACTATATATTTGTGCGATATGAACCTGGACTTATTCGATGCTCGTTAGATTGTACTGGTAAGTCGTATAAAACAGGGTAAATCATAAATAAAAAAATGTAATGTTTCAAAGTGGTATGGCATACAGTCAAGTAGCTGGACGCTCTAATGTCACCCATTTTTTATTTCTTGGTTCATGCAGCGTCTGAACAAAATTAGACAAGTTGACGTTTGAACTATTAGACTTTGCTCTTGCTAACCTTTTTGTTTTGGTCGATGGACAGGACATAAATTAATGATATACATATGTTAAGTCCACTTCTATTAATTTGCCGCCCTTATCTCAATCCAACTTTTTAAACAGCAGCAAATATCCTTACTTTATAACGATACCAGAGTAAACAATTAATGGTTTCTGCTTCTTCTTAACATAATTAAACTCGGCAAGGTATCTGATACGGCCTTGAATGCATGTCATATCATGACGGTCTAACTCCAAGGTATTCATAAAAGACAAAAAAAAAAAAAAAAACAAAACAAAACTCACTAGGCTCCGGGTGTTCAAAAGCTAATCACTGGTTAGTATAACACTTGTTGCCTTTGAATTAACAAGATTGTCGAATGCAAAGTTAACGCTCAAAATAAATCAATCTTCGTTTTCTCAACATACCTACAACTGTGAAATGACTTTTGTTTTTTGTCAAATTTTGTTAGATTCTTTTTAGAAAATTATCACTAATCCATGATTTTCTCGAACCAACCTTTAAACAACGGGTGCAATTTTTGTTCTTTCAAAATGCCCTGCTTCTAGACCTATTCCATTTTCTTTGATCTTATTAACCTTAGAACTCATGTTGATATACATATTAGAAATTGATGTTTCCCGTATTAACCTATCTATAAGTAATTGCAAATCAAAATGAAAATTATTGCTGCTCGTCATGGTATTTTGCTGCATTTGGTTTTGGAATTGAGATAGTATGTTATTTGATTTAAGTATAAAGAAACAATACACCTGTCAATGGTAAGATCAGACTTTTCAAATCCATTACTGGATAAACTTGCTGATTGACATGTTAATACTTTGCAAGCATGGTCCTAATCTGCGTTACCATTTGGAATTCCCGTTCTCTACTCTGAAGTAAATGATACTTACCGTCATGTAGACGCCGTTGTAACAGAAAATTATCACGGCCAGAGGTATAATAAAGCAGAAGATGAAAATACACATGAGATAGCTTTGTATAGCTGGGTCATTCGGTGCAAATGAAACACCACAAGAAACATTAGACCCCTCAAGTGTATAATAGTTCCATCCAAAAAACGGCAAGACGGACCAGAAAAGTCCCCCGATCCAACAACAGACGATAGCAATCAGAGCCACACTATGGCTTATTATTTTGGCCTTTAGTGGTTTGGCGATGACGATGTATCGGTCAAAAGAAATGGCACACAGGAGATACAAGTTTGTCAGACCAAGTACATACACCAAGAATCCTTCAAGGGTACACATCAACTCCCCATGTGTCCATTTTCCGGCGTAAGACGCTGTAGCAGCGAAAAGACATACGGAAGACATTCCTAAATCGTTCATTGCTAAACTAATCACGAACATGTTTGTTGGTGTACGTAAATTTTTATTCTTCAAGAATACAAGCAAAGCACTGCCATTGAAGAAAGAGCCAACCATCCAAGTTAAGAACAACATCACGGCAAACACACTATAGTATGTGTCCATATTCTCAAAAGCTGGAGCCAAGTCCACAGATGACCCGTTGGTCGTATTGTTGTTATCCATAGTTAAATACCACACAAAGTATCTGAATCAAGATTTCTTGTATCGAAATTAACTTGCTCTTACGCTTGTTTAATAGTATAACTAACTACTAAGCCAGCTATGACTCGATCCTCTCCATCAGACTGATGTATATTGCTAGATATCTCCCGAGGACAATGTCAATCTGTGCATAAGTCTTCTTAAATAAATCTGGTCGTTTGCCCCAGTCAGGGTTGAGGATTTGGAGTAGAACCAATATCTGTGTGATTACTTTCCCCAAACATATATATATTTAACGGGAAAATGTTCGTGTTTGTTGCAGTCTCCTGATTACCTTGATGGGTTCACTGTTACTCTCATAATAACCCATCTGGCCTTACTGTGTCACGCCAACCAATACCATCGCCGCCCATCGAAGCTTCACAGTGAGAAGTATATCATAGTCTCATCTACAGTGCGATACCAACAAAGCGTCAGGGTGTGCATGTTTTTCCGAAATCAGGAGAGGCATCTTAGAATAAATTATGTAATAATGTAATGTCATATTTATCAAGTGATGTTGTTGCCCGTTGAAAACTTCATAGTATCAACTAAATTACAGTTTTACCAAAGCTACGCAGTTGCAGTCTACTGATTACCTTGATGTCGTGTCCTGTTTAAGCACCACACAAGTTATATATCTGTCCCGTCAATACAGCGATAAGGACACCCAACATTTTTGCTTATACCCGCCAGAGCGACATATAGTGAATTATATGACTGTAGCATTGATGAAGCCTTACTGATTTATGGAGAAGCTACTAATATAACAGCCTCATTTACAGAGAGATGCAATAATCCATTAAGGCTTTCTAGTCCAAATAATATAAGAGTCTAATATAAAGATGTAATACATACATTCAAATTAATATAGCCTAACCAACATCTGACGCAGGGTCAGAGAAGGAGTTATATGATAGTTCGCTAGAAATAGCCTCACCAACGTCTGACGAAGAGTCAAAATACGAATTATATGTTAATCCGCTTGAAATAGCCTCACCAACATTTGACACAGGGTTAAAGAAGGAATTTTATGATAGTTCCCTTGAACTAGCACAACAACATCTGACGAGGGGTCACTGTACGAATTATATGACAGTCCGTTTGAAATAGCCTCATCAACATCTGACGAAAGGTCAAAGTACGAATTATATGACAGACCGCTTTAAATAGCCTCAACATCTGAAGAAGGGTCACAGTACGATTTGTATGACAATCCGGTTGAAATAGCCTCACCAACATCGAACTAAAGGTTATAATAAGAATTATATCACAGACCGCTTGAAATAGCCTCAACATCTGAAGAAGGGTCACAGTACGATTTGTATGACATTCCGGTTGAAATAGCCTCACCAACATCGAACTAAAGGTTATAATACGAATTATATGACAGACCGCTTGAAATGGCATCACAAACATTTGACGAATGGTCACTATACGAACTATATGACAGTCCCCTTGAAATAGCCTCAACAACATCTGACGAAGGGTTATAATACGAATTATATGATAGCCCGCTTGAAATAACCGCACCAACATCTGACGAAGGGTCACAGTACGAATTATATGACAGTCCCCTTGAAATAACCGCACCAACATCTGACGAAGGGTCACAGTACGAATTATATGACAGACCGCTTGAAATAACCGCACCAACATCTGACGAAGGGTCACAGTACGAATTATATGACAGTCCCCTTGAAATAACCGCACCAACATCTGACGAAGGGTCACAGTACGAATTGTATGACAGACCGCTTGAAATAGCCTCAAACAACATCTGACGAAGGGTTATAATACGAATTATATGATAGCCCGCTTGAAATAACCGCACCAACATCTGACGAAGGGTCACAGTACGAATTATATGACAGTCCCCTTGAAATAACCGCACCAACATCTGACGAAGGGTCACAGTACGAATTGTATGACAGACCGCTTGAAATAGCCTCAAACAACATCTGACGAATATTCACAATACGAATTATATGATAGTCTTCTTGAAATAGCTTCAGCAACATCTGACGAAGAGTCACAGAACGGATTATATGACAATACATTCGAAATAGCCTCATCAGCATCGTACGAAGGGTCACAATACGAATTATATGACAGACCGCTTGAAATAGTCTCAACAACATAGTACTAAGGGTCATTGAAGGAATTATATCACAAACTGCTTGTAATAGCATCACCGATATCTATTGGAGGGTCTCAGTACGAATTACAAAAATGTATATATGACCGACCTCTTGAAATAGCCACAACAACATCTGTTGAAGGGTCAGTGTTCGAATTACTTGATAGACCGCTTGATATAGCCTCACCAACATCTGACGAAGAGTCACAATACGAATTATATGATAGTCCGCTTGAAATAGCCTCACCAACATCTGACGCATGGTCACAGAAGGAATTAAATGGTAGACTTGTTGTAATAGCCTCACCAACATCTGACGAAGTGTCAAAATACGAATTATATGACAATACATTTGAAATAGCCTCACCAACATCGTACGAAGGGTCACAATAGGAATTATATGACAGATAGCTTGAAATAGCTTCAACAACATCTGAGGAAGGGTCACAGAAGGAATTATATGACAATACATTTGAAATAGCCTCACCAACATCGTTCGAAGGGTCACAATACGAATTATATGACAGATCGCTTGAAATATCCTCACCAACATCTGACAAAGGGTCATAGTACGAATAATATGACAATACATTTGAAATAGCCTCACCAACATCGTTCGAAGGGTCACAATACGAATTATATGACAGATCGCTTGAAATATCCTCACCAACATCTGACAAAGGGTCATAGTACGAATAATATGACAATACATTTGAAATAGCCTCACCAACATCGTTCGAAGGGTCACAATACGAATTATATGACAGATCGCTTGAAATATCCTCACCAACATCTGACAAAGGGTCATAGTACGAATAATATGACAATACATTTGAAATAGCCTCACCAACATCGTTCGAAGGGTCACAATACGAATTATATGACAGATCGCTTGAAATATCCTCACCAACATCTGACAAAGGGTCATAGTACGAATTATATGACAATCCGCTTGAAATAGCCCCAACAACATCGTATTAAGAGTCATTGAAGGAATTATATGACAGACCGCTTGAAATAGCTTCAACAACATCTGAGGAAGGGTCACAGAAGGAATTATGTGACAGACTGCTTGTAATAGCATCATCAGCATCGTACGAAGCGTCACAGAAGGAAGTATATGACAAACCGCCTGAAATAGCCTCACAAACATCTGACGAAAAGTCAAATTACGAATTATATGATAGTCTTCTTGAAATAGCCTCAGCAACATCTGACAAAGTGTAACAGTACGAATTATACGACAGTTCAATGGAAATAACTCACCAACATCTGACTCATGGTCACAGGAAGTATTTGATGACATCGTTCGAAGGGTCACAATACGAATTATATGACAGATCGCTTGAAATATCCTCACCAACATCTGACAAAGGGTCATAGTACGAATTATATAACAGTCCGCTTGAAATAGCCTCACCAACATCTGACTCATGGTCACAGGAAGTATTTGATGACATCGTACGAAGGGTCACAATACGAATTATATGACAGATCGCTTGAAATAGCTTGACTACATCGTTCAAAGGGTCATAGTACGAATTATGAATGTTCGCTTGAAATGACATCACGAACATTTGAGGAATGGTCACTGTACGAATTATATGACAGTTCACTTGAAATAACTCGCCAACATCTGAGTCATGGTCACCGCAGGTATTCTATGACAATCCGCTTGATATAGCCTCACCAACATCTGTTGAAGGGTCACTGTTCGAATTATTTGATAGACCGCTTGAAATAGCCTCACCAACATCTGACAAAGAGTCAAAGAAGGAATTATATGACAGACTTCTTGTAATAGCCTCACCAAGATCTGACGAAGGGTCACAGTAAGAACAATACGACAGTGCGTTTGAAATAGCCTCATCAACATCGTACGAAGGGTCACAATACGAATTATACGACAGTGCGTTTGAAATAGCCTCATCAACATCGTACGAAGGGTCAAAATACGAATTATATGACAGTCCGCTAGAAATAGCCTGAATACATCGTTCAAAGGGTCACATTACGAATTATATGAGTGTTCGTTTGAAATAGCCTCAGCAACATCTGACGAAGAGTCACAGAACGGATTATATGACAATACATTCGAAATAGCCTCATCAGCATCGTACGAAGGGTCACAATACGAATTATATGACAGACCGCTTGAAATAGTCTCAACAACATAGTACTAAGGGTCATTGAAGGAATTATATCACAAACTGCTTGTAATAGCATCACCAATATCTATTGGAGGGTCTCAGTACGAATTACAAAAATGTATATATGACCGACCTTTTGAAATAGCCACAACAACATCTGTTGAAGGGTCAGTGTTCGAATTACTTGATAGACCGCTTGATATAGCCTCACCAACATCTGACGAAGAGTCACAATACGAATTATATGATAGTCCGCTTGAAATAGCCTCACCAACATCTGACGCATGGTCACAGAAGGAATTAAATGGTAGACTTGTTGTAATAGCATCACCAACATCTGGCGCATGGTCACAGAAGGAATTAAATGGTAGACTTGTTGTAATAGCATCACCAACATCTGACGAAGTGTCAAAATACGAATTATATGACAGTCCGCTTGAAATAGCCTCACCAACATCTGACGAAGAGTCACAGTACGAATTATATGACAATACGTTTGAAATAGCCTCACCAACATCGTGCGAAGGGTCACAGAAGGAATTATATGACAGACTGCTCGTAATAGCATCATCAGCATCGTACGAAGCGTCACAGAAGGAAGTATATGACAAACCGCCTGAAATAGCCTCACAAACATCTGACGAAGGGTCACAATACGAAATATATGATAGTCCTTTTGAAATAGCCTCAGC